TGACCTTGGGACCAGAGAAGGGCAAAGGAAGTTACAGGGTGAGAAGAGGGGCACAGGGTCCAGGTGGTCTTTCATTGTGTTACTGGGTCCTTTTACTGTTATTCCACCCACTTAAATCTAAACCCAATTAGTGTGAGAACAATATCCAAATGATGATATTGCATGGTGAAAAAGAAAAAATCCCATGTGCATCAAACATTGAATTTGAAGACTGCTGCCTAGTCCATGGGAAACATAAGGTTTAAAGGGCATATTTTCCTTTAAGGAGCCTAAGCTGAAGTTATTTGTGTTGCTATAGTGCATATACCATATACCTGCACAGTGACCTGCAATATAGGACACCTCACATCTCAGTGCACAATACAATCCAGGACTCTCAAGGGCTCTGCAGATAGGAACTATCATGGTAGTCTGCCTGCTTAGCAGACCTGAAATTGATCCATTCATCTACATATGCTGAGCATCATCCTGAGCTAAGATAGATTTCAGATTGGCCTACTGGAGAATTACTTTAAGCTAAGGTGGTATTCCATACCTTTATATTCTATTTAGCAATGAGAAAAAGCCCTCTGGACCTATTTTTGTAATTTATTGGAAAGAGACCACCTAGGACACTGTTTACTTCATCAAACAGTGATTTCTTAATGGGGACACACTGGGAAAACAATTCAAGTCTTGGTCCCAGGAATGAGAGAACCTCCTGAACAACTCAGAGACAGTTAAATTGTAGAGTTCATTAGCACTTTCTCTCTCTAGCATGGCTACTAGGATACTCAGGAAAAAAGTGACTACCTACGTAAACAAATGCATGGCATGTTACAATATACATTCTTTTGGTACTATTTTAACCTTGATGCATCTTATTTTTTTTTAACTTTATCTTCTTTTTCCCTTAATTTCTGCATTTTATTTTTATTTTTTACATTTTAAAAGGTATTCCCAATATACAAGTGAGGTGGAATATATATATATAACCACAGTATATTTAGTATGTTCAGAACAAATGCCTTAGCCCACCAATGGGATCCTATATCATGTATAACCAGAAGAATGAGAAATTATGCTCCATTATATAGGATGTATCAAAGTGCATTCTACTATCATGTATAACTGATTGAAACAATTAAAAAAATAAAAAAAATGGATAATGTCCAATAGTAAGCTTCATGGACATAAGCAGCAATTTCATTTGTATTTTGGGCAAAACAGAAATAGCTGATGGAAAGAGGGTCTGAGTGTGAGAGATAATTTCTATTTACATTCTTGGTTCTGGTTCCAAGAGAACAGTTAGTGGAGCTGGAAGACCCAAAGGGGTGTGTCTCAAGTGACACAGTAAAATGCCTTTGCTCCCTCTACTACCACACTATTTTCTTATGGGCTCCTTGCCAGCGTATAGACCTGGTGATCACAGAGCAGAATAACTATGTCAGTAGTCTTCTAAAGGTCCTCTGGAAAGCACCCTGAAAGGTATGAAAAGGGCAGATATGAGAAAGGGTAGGTAGAAATTTAAAGACACCAAGGGGACAACCTAAAGGAAAAGCATCCTCTGATGAGCTCAAAACCTCTGGACTTCATTTCGGCTCACCATCCATCCACTAATCTTTTGGCTGAATGCCCACTAAGCTCTAGGCACTGTGCCAGGATTGTGGGGGTGGGGTGGCTCTCACCATCTCATAGATGAGCTATGGCATAGAGACACAGGCATTCAGATGAAAGAGATGATTTTCCTAGGGGAACTTGGGGCAAGGCTATTAGGAAGTGTTGGCATTTAGCTGGGATATAAGAACACATGGGAATCACATGACATGGGAGTAGGGTAACTCATGGTTCAATTACCTTTACAACTAGAGTTCTCTAAAAGAGAAAAACTACTCATAACTCTTAAGATTCCATAATAGGTTCCTATTTGGCTGTCTGGCCTCTCTTCATTATGTTTTGCACACAGCACAGTCAAGAAAGAAAAACTTCCTTCAAATAAATCGACAATCACTACTAACAACTTTCTGTAGATATCCTTTAAAGACCCGATGAAGATCTCCATAATCAAATAGTACAGCTTTACCTTTCCAACCTCATAAGCTACTAGGTCCTTTCAGTACATATCCTAAACATGACTGAGCTTCTTCATGCTCCAGAACAACCTGTCTTGTAACCCTGTTCTCATTTCTACAGGACCCATTAATTTGTCCAAAATTCACTGACTAAGTAAGTCTCAGCAACATCCCAGATATGACAATAGGCACTAGGAACCAGATACAAAGCACACAATACCAATGACAGTAACTATTGCCCACAACATGTATTTTATAAATTTTTATCAATCTATGGAATTAGTTAATTGAACTATATAACCATTAACTTATTTTAAAGCTTAAAGAAAAGCACAGGAGATAATCTAATAGCCAGGCATCTATAATCTATACCCCTCACCCCCCCATTTAACAGATGTTAACATCTTTTTTTTTTTTTTCATTTTTGCTCCAGATGGCTCTGTTAAATAAAACTTTACAGCTTGAGCCAAAGCCTAATTCCTGATATCTTCCCCCTTCCTACAGACATCACTACTCTCTTAAATTGGTATCAATCCAAAATGTTTTTAGTGGTTTTATTCCACATGAATTCACTTATAAATGATTCCAAGTATTGTTGAATAATTATAAAACTGTTTTAAAAATGTTCAGATGATATTCTCCTATTTCTCCTCTTCTGCAACTTGCAATTTTCAATCAGAAGTTTGTTTTAAAAACATCCCCATGGTGCTACGTACAAATCCAGTTATTTCATTTTAATTGTTGTAGAGTTTACTTATCCACAGTTTGTTTCCCATTTTCATCCTGATGGACAATAATGTTCTTTGTGATATTTTTACTTTAGGAAATAAAGCTGCATTGAACATTCTTTGTATATATCTTATTCTACACATCTTTCAGAATTTCTATACCAGTGTCTAGGTTTTGGAGTTTGAAATCACACTCTCTCTTCTATGGATTCTTACTCTTTGCCAAGATATATATATATCTTTTTTTTTTGAAGAGAAGTATTTTAATACAATCTTTTACAAGATTAGAATTAGTCCAAAAGTATGTAATGAACAAAGCACAGTGCAAAATTGTCCTTCCTACCCTCTTCATCTTTTCTTACTTCTGTGCATACTCAAGGGCTGTAATCCCTCACCTGGATTCCTTAACTTTTATGCAGTTATTTTCATGTGTGGATAGTTATTCAAATGAATGCTTCTGTCAGAGAAGATATATTGGGAAGTCCAATTCTGTCATAGTGCTGATGTCAGCCTAGGGTTTTATTGATTTGTGTTTTATAACATCTGATTGTGAGCTCAACTTTAGTGGTGTTAGTTTCTCAGATGGGGACAGTTATAACTGGACCCCAAATCCACATATTGTATGAGTTTGGGTTTGCCAAGAGTGTGGTCCTTTAAAGGTCCTGGCTAAATGCAGCAATCTTAAATTCAAAGGGGCCATCCTGAACACACCTTAAACCTTACTCCTTGGGCCCTGTATGGATGTTAAAACCAATTTGAGGACTCATTTGGAGGTATAAGCAGTGTTCTCAGGCTTCCTGCAAAGGTGGCTCAAATACTTCTGGTTCTGGTTTTCGGTTCCCTTTCTACTTTTAGTATTTAGAGAGTTCCCTTCTCTTTTGCCATTTCCTTAAGTATTTTTTTTTAAATTGGTATAGCAAGAGAAACTCTGTTTGTTTACCGAGCCATACTGCATTCTTCAAATGTTATTTATTTTTTCCATGAATATAAAATTCTATTTTTCTAAACAAAATTGGTCTATATTTTTGGGGAATATTATTGAGTTTGTGAATTTCCCTTTTGGGTGCTCAATATATAGATAACTTTTTAAAAATATTGAATAGAGTCAAAACTAATTTGTTTTGACAATTTTTACTTCCTTGATAAATTATTTAACTGGATATTATAAAGGTAGAATTAGAAATCTATAATTTGAAATTTTACACCTTGCTTATGATTTTTTTACTATAAAAACATACCTGAATTTTAAAAAAAGATCATAATTTTATATTTATTTCTAAAGGTTTTTATTGACTTTACTTGTACGCTCTGAGATGAAAAATTCATGTGAATATAATTTATCAGCCTTATGTCTAAAATTCATACCAACAATCACTGGAAAAGTGAAACTATAGACCACATTCTATTCAGCAAAAAGAGAATTGTCTATGACTAACAGGAGATGCTGAGAAGTAGAACCATTATGTGACTAAAAATAACTGAGAGACAAGTTATTATAGGCATACCCACCTAAGTATAAACATACCAAGCTCAAAAACACAAGTAATGAAGTATTTCATAGTAGGCTTTCTAGGAATATGTAACTAAGAAAGAAATCTATAGATAAGCAGCGATTTAACCCATTTGGAGTATATGGTATTTATTTTTATAATAATGATGTTCTTAGATAGCAGAAGAGGTCATTTATACAAAAATAATAATCATGATTAAATGTTCAAGTATATATTTATTTTGTATTTAGTATATCTGAATATACAGAATCATTTCATATAGTAATTTTACAGAGTTCCAGAAAAACTCAATTTAAAGGCATTTTTAAAAGTTGACTAAATCTTAATTTTTAGAAATATTTCTCAGTTTAAAAAAATCCATACCAGGTTTTCAAAATACCAGTCAATTAGCTTACCATATAGCTAGCAATTAACCAAGTAACACCCATCAACTGTAGTTATAGAGGAGAAATCAAATTTCTGAAGGAAGCATAGTTTCTTTTGCTACAGAAGCTTACCAATGCTATACATAGCACTTTAAGCATGGGGCTGAAGGGTAATCAATATTACAAGAGGATTCTCAAAATTAAAATGTATTGACAACTTTTGTGTCAAATTTAGGAAGGCAAGTTAACCGGGACATCGCTAACAGAATCATCTACTGCATGCAGGGCAACTTAGTAAGACATGTCACTTGAGAATACACAAAGATAGAGCCCTTGGCCCTGTACCTGGTGCTGGCGATGCTCGGTGATTCTGCTCCAAGCCTACATCTTTCTAGTTGACTGGCAACAATCTGCCTTTCCACTTCCAGTTCTCGGGTGAGTCGTTGAAACTGAAGCTCCTGTGAGTCAAGGAAATAAAAGGCATATAAGGTGATGAGGTTGGCTGCTCAGGCAGATACATGAATTGGCGTATGTCACAGGAAACACAGGAACGTACCCATAACATAAAGCTGTAGTGTGGCTCTTTGAAGTGCAAGCTTTGGATGGTTTAAATAATCTAATGATTTGTGGTTATTTTAAATTTAAAGGCAATAGAGTTGCAGCTTTTATTTGATGTTGGAAACGTATATTTTTATTTGCCTTTTTTGTTTGTGGTTCTAATCAGATCTTTAAAACAATATTTTCTGCTGCAGTGCCATATTAAATTTAATGTTTGCAGAGACCTTACTTGAAGTGTTTACATCAGAGGCACACCAACCAATAAAAGCTCTTCATCTTCAATGGCTAATTTTTATATCCCTTATACTGTACTGTATGTCAGCACAGCATTAAAAAAAAAATGTAAATCTCCAGGAAGAGAATCACTTTACCATGTTTGATACAAAGCCATTTAACTAAGGAAAAATATCCTTTCAATCCCACAGAAAAAATCTTGCTATATTTATCTACGACATAACCAAGAGAATTTTGCTACTTTCACAAATGCATTCATGTGCCATTGTGTGAAAGGAGAGAGGTGAGACAGAAAAGTGAAAAAGACTGGGCTATAACGTAGAATTCAAAATTGTACTAAGAAGCTAGAAAATTTGTCAAAAGAAATTATATTCTTCAATCTATGCTACATCATGAAGGTGAACGAGTTCTATTATAAGAGAAAGTGTTTTAACTTTGTCCTTTTCTTATTGTTAGTTCGATGGGATTTTAATAAATAGAAAGCATGTTATGCTATAAAACACCCAAAGATCAAATCAAATATATTTCAAAGGCTTTAAGCCACAAATAGCATCTTGAAGAATACCTCAAGAACCCCTGTGCCAATTAATGCTTTACAAGCTATTCAAAACAAATTGTTAAGTGGTTCAAATTTGACAATGATTGCTAGAGCAAAATACCAGGTAGGTGAACACTCAAATAAACCTAAAAACCAATCAGAAATAAAACTACCTAAAATATTATTTATGACTAGATATGAATGTTTGCATAAAAATTTAATTGACTTTATTGACTCTTTGTGGTATTAGGCACATGTGCAATTACTTGATAGCATTGGCTTTGTAAATTCCACAAGCTATTCTTAGAATGAGTTTTAATAAACAGTCCCTGAACTCCTTATCTGCTATTGAAAATCCTTTTCTAATGAACCCAATAGTGGAGGCATTTTAGAAAGGATATAGATGAGTAGTATTTAGCTCAATACTGCTATATAATATGATCATAATAGATAAGTGGGACAATGCCTGCCTCTGCCTAACAATACCTAGACTGCTGGCTGTTAATAAATGCTAAACAACAAAAGAACATATGGCTATAAACTGTACAATAGTCAGTAACCTAGTAGTATCATGCTTACCTGAAATAATTTCTTTGCTCTTAAATAGCATAGTTTTTGTGATACATTTCCATTCTTTCATTTATTTTATTCAATTACTTATTATGTACATCTTTTCCCACAAGAGTGGCTGCTTGTATCATACTGGGCCAAGAAGGACTGTGTGTAAATCCTCCTTAAGCTATCACATTATCTTTGTACCCTGGTTACTCTGTATTCTAGGACTGAGGGTGGGCATGTTACATCATTTTGGGATAGCCAGAAGTTACCATACCAGGGTAGGATGAAGGTATATTTCAAATAAGAACATAGGAAAAAAACAATTCAATTGTAGTAGATGTTATAAAATCATGTTTGTGGCTGCTTATGCTAATCTTTTCAACAACCATTTAAGGAAATGGTTGGGAGAATTTCTGCTTGAAGGCAGAGGTGGGACACAGTTTCCCATAATCCTTTTCCTCTGAAGCAGAGATAAGTAACTTTGGCTCTGTCTAGAAGATACACTCATGCCAGACTGTGACTCAGATGTCAGCTCAGAGACTGATTCCAGAAAACAGGAAGCTCCTTTTCTCTGTTCTGCCTCTTGCAGCATTCCCTATATTAGATCTCAAGGTCAAGTTCCTTACACAGAAATCACTTCCAAAGGTAGTGGAAGTTATCAGTTCTTTCCTTATCTGACCAAATTTGTGGCACAGATTTGGTTACTGTTCCTGGAAGTTAAATCTCAAGCCTTGTTCTCCAATAGAAGTGTTGGAATTTACTAATAACCACTTTTTTTTTTCCTTTTTTCCCCTTTTATCCTTAATTAGCCATGTCCACCTCTATTTCTTGCAAATAGGAACCTTGAATGACACCTATAGAAACTGTTTACACCTAATGAGTTGCTAGGCAAGCCTCTGTACTCATGCTGCATTTTCTATTTAAAATGAGCAATTCCTTTGACATTCTTATCAACTGAGTAAAGTTCACAATGTATCCCTCATAGAGCCCTTCAAAATGAATATCACTATGTCCTTACTTACTGTATGTCCACACTTGTCACAAGTAGGACTTCACTGAAGTGCCAAAAGCAGACTATCAGGAAGCTCTTAGGCATGGAAATACTACCTAAACCTGTGAATATTTACGTTAAACTTCACATTATATTTGTGGGCTTTGATGTAAAATGATGACTGCTGTCCCTACAGAATATAAGCTGAACACCCATGTGTGATTGGCACCAAGATGAATGAGTAGGATATAAATATTTGACAATTCTGTCTCTACTGGTTTCTTTGACTGATGAGGAAGACAGCATTACATAGTCACATAAAAACACATTTAACGATTTCCAAAATAACACTCATTAAGATGATTATGCAGAGATATCATCTATAAATTTTAAATTTTTATATTTTACCCTCTAAACATAGACTGTGACAGCTAATTCTGAAATCAGTATCTAAAACGGGGCATCTAAATTATAGGGGTATCTTATATTTGTTCTCTTCTGAGAAAAGCAAGGAAATTAATGTTAAAATTGCTTGCTAATGATTTAGTATATGACATTTTCTTCAGACCACATTCTTACAAAGAAGTGTCAAGGCTATTAATATGCTATAGGATTATAATCTACTCATATGTGCTATGAAACTCTCCTTTGTATTTACGACATATCTCTCAGGTTAATATAATGATAAATATTATTTGAGAGTGAAGGGAAAAAAGAAAACAAAACTTCACTTTCATGACAGACCCACCCAAGGAGCTCCAAGGACTTGCTGCCCCAGTTGCCAATACTTGGCCTGAGGCAGTTGGCTCCTTCAGGAATGCAAAGAATCCCCTTTCCCCAAGGGAATATCCTTCCTCCAGCACTAACTGAGGTAAGAATAGAAGATTAGTCTCAGGTAGCCCCAGGGTTTCCTGTAGGCATGGTAATGCTTTGCTAGCCTGGAGAGTATTTGATATTCTTCCCTGTCCAATCCTACTTTTCCATCCCCTTTCCTCCACAGGTGTTGATTCATGATAAATTTTGTGCACACAAAATTTTATCTCAATGAGAACCCAAGCTGTCTTGTGTTCTTTTTTTTTAAATTAAAGACAGAATTTTTCTCTTACTCCCACTCCCTGTTTTTAAATATTATGAGATATTTCAAGTATACAGAAAAGGTATAGACAATAGTACAATGAACTTTTCTGAAACTGAAATAACAAATAGCAAATCACCTCTAGCAAATCTTAATACTTTGCTATATTTGCTTCTGATTTCTTGAGAAATACAATATTACAATGTAATTTTAAAAAACAATGAGGTGGCTTGGTTGTTCTCTCCTGAATCCTAATCTTCTCTCTTCTTCCCTCCCCAGAAAATATCATTACTCTGAATTTGGTGTTTATTATACTCATGACTTTTTAAATATTACTACTATATACTTAGTCACACATGATATATAGCATTGTTTTTTATATTCACATTTTTTTGTAAATGGTAAACTGTTCACAGATTTGCAGATTGCTTTACTGCTATATGATTTTGAGATTTACCTATATCAATAATGTAGCTTTAGCATTGCTTAAAAGTATTCCATTTTATGATCATAGAACAATATATTTATGTTCTGCTCTTATAAACCTTTGGATTGTTTCCAATTGCTTATGCAATTATAAGCACTCTATAAAATAAACATTCTTATATAAACCATCTTGGGCACATAAGCCAGACTTCTCCAGAGTAGAGACCCAGAAATAGAATTACAGGGTTGAAATGTATGCACATCTTTAATTTTCCTTGATAATAGTTGTCAGATTACTTTTCAAAGTCTTGTACCAATTTATACTTCAGCTAGCCATGTAGCGGAGCTCCAATTTCTCCTCATTCTCATTCTCACTGACCTCAACTTACATTTGGAAGCTTAAAACTCCCTGCCCTTCTTTGTTTACAGTCTAACTTGCTTATGCTTTACTTTGTATTTCCTGATTGCCAACATCTTTTCTTAGGTTTATTGGTCATTTATGTTCACAGGTATCAAACTTTCAGAGGGAAATTTCTCCCTACTGCCAGAAATCCAGGCTTTTTCTAAACTTCAGTGAAAATGGTTTCTCATCACCTTTAAACTAATGTAGTTGTGTGAAGTTTTAGCCTCGGGTAAGGAATCTCAGTAGACTGTCCACCATTTGTAGCCCTGAGACACACATAGCACATAACCAGCCAAGGGCGTGCTCAAGATTATCTAGCTTTGGCAGGTGTCTCTAGGGTGAAAGCCAGGTTTACTGCTTACTTAGCTGAGGATTCTTACTCTCCTTTCAGTTTTGATTTCTCTAAATTCCTTTGTTTCTAGTTTAGCCCTGCTTTCAAAAAAATAAAATACAAATATTTTATTCCGTATGCTTAGTGTCATTTAGGGATAAAAGTACGTAGAAATACTGAATGTACAATATGGCTTTTTCATATTTTGATTTCTCTGAGCTGTATTCAGGGGACATTTCTCAGTATTTCCTTCAGTTCATTATTTCTCCATGTGCTGTTTGGAGTTTATCTCACTGTCCTTTTTTTTTTACCCCGCCCCACCTTCCTACCCTTCAAAGATGAGA